ACCTCTTCGAACACTACGCGGCCACATCAAACTGGCCAAGGCTGGAGGCGGCCAACCTAAGCGTATGGGCCCAACGCCGGCTTTGCCGCAGGCCTACGAAGAAGACCTGGTGACATGGATTCTAGCAATGGAGAGCGATGGCCACCCAGTCAACTTTAAGCATATCCTCTCCAAAGCCAATGCGATGATGGGAGTAATCCATGGCTCCCCGAACAACTCATCGCTTACGTACGGCTGGTATCACTCTCTGACAAAACTTGTGACAATTAGTACCTCCGCAAAACAGATAATTCTTGTGGATATCTATATTTTGGCGAATCGGCAACAAATCGAGAGAGGAATCTCAATACATTATTGAAGTATAAAAAGTGCAGATCACTGGTTTTCCAATGTAAGGATGCCAACTTTGAAAATCTGTAGCGCACACAAACATTGCTTAAATTGATACATCTTGAGCAACCTGGCCGATAGCACCACTGCTACAGTCACACCTGAGAGACCACCCACATCACGCCACTCTCCATACCCAACGATGTTGCGTAAACCAACACGTTCTTCACAGGAAACATCTCCCCGCAGCAGCAGAGCAAGCCCATACCCTGTGCGCACACCATCAGCGAACACACAGTCAAATCGACGATCGTCGACACATCAACGGCAGCTTCAAAATACAACACAGTCGACTCCACCACCCCCACATCAACATCGATACCAATTGGTTCTCCAACCGTTGGTGAAGTCCACCGTGAGTGAGCGCGACAAGTCCGCCACAGCTCTGGTAGAGGTTGCTGTGTCTGGGGTGTCCTTTTCGGACATACTGCGCAAAATCTGGGACAAGAATTGCAACAAGATCAAGGGCCGGGCCGTAAAGGACGATGGTGTGTGGTTCAATTTGCCAGCAACGCAGAACGAGTGGTCAAAGTTCTTCCAGTTCAAATCGAAGCGGCACCTTGTGGATAGTGGCAAGTCCGAACACAGCTGGAATATATGGCTCGTGTCGGCACGGGGGCGAAACAGTGAAACTGCTCAATTATGAATACGGCATTGGGATTGCCAAGGCGGAGCACCGAGATGCCTTTTTGGATGCTTGTGTGCACCCTCTCGAGACTGACAGAGCCGGAGCAACATCAGAGCGAACTTTGCATGAAGTAGTCGAGCAACTTCAAGCTCATTGGGGTGGGCGATTCAGTGCTGAGAGCGTTGTGTGGAGAATGTGGGCAAATGAAGTTACGCGTAACTGAAACCGTTCAACGTGGGAAGAAGCAATTGCGGAGCCACCTCCAAACTTCGTCACCCAACTCCTCAGGCCAGCTGTTACACAAAATGAGGAGCACCTTTCGTTCATGTCACGGCCGGCTGAGCTTGCAATGGATTGCGTGAATGCATCCATTGCGGATTACAAGCTTATGCGGCAAGATTGGGTGGCATTTGGGACCCGTTTGGATTTATATGACCGCAGCTTGAATACGAGAAAGTTTGTCATCGAAGGGTTCCTACGTAACATGGTTCCTCCGCCTGCCAGTGCTGTAATGGATCCACTTCCACGCATGAAAAATGCTGCAGATCTGGAACATGAAGAACAATTGCAGAGAAATTATATTTTAAATCTTTCAAGCTGTTTGCCTTTCCTGAAACCCCAGATCGTCATCGTCGTCGTTAGGCTCGACCACGCAGTCCAAATGTCAGGCACTCGTTTTTCTGTTGACATTGGACCCGTAGGATGAAAACAACCCTGAACCTTCCAACCACAGCGGGAAAAAGTATTTGACATGTCGAGTTTCTCAAACCGTCGATATGTTTCCACGACAAATGGCAGTAGATCTGGCACATTGTCTTCAACACAAAACGCTGGAAAGCCATTTTGACATTGCCAGAGAGGAATTCAATGGGATTGAAAAATGGACAGTACGCCGGCAGAAAAATGGGAACAATGCCAACACTGCGCAGGAAATGTACGATCTCTGGGTGGCGGTGGATGAATGCTCCATCAAGAATCCACACAGAATTGTGTTCAGGGTACTGCCGAACGTTGCCACGCTTGTTGTAGACAAAGTCGCGACAGCACTTAAAGAACTCGATCCTGTCGAAGGTACTCGGTGTTGAAGTAGCCAATGAGTCCATTGACGCCGATGAATGCCAAAAATGGATAATCTCGGCTTGCGTTGAAAATCGCCTCGTATGGCCAACTTTGTTCATTTGAGAGCGTAGCCCCTCTTGCGGATCATTCCACGATTGTCAAACGATGCTTCGTCCAAAAAGACGAAGTTTTGATGACTCCAGTCGATGCCGTCCATTTATTTGACAAAGCGGAACACGTCTTGCTCGTTTATGTGCATTAATGTGGAAAGTATTGGACCGCGACGCTCCAATACTTTCCACGTTAGACCAAAGTCGTAGATGATTCGCCAAACGGTTGATTTTGAAATGTCCATGTGGTGAACTCTCTTGAACTCGGCCTGTGCCTCGTCCAAGTACACAAGTGGACGTCGCTCGTAGAAGTCCCGCAGCCAAAGTCGCTGTGCAGCAGTAAACTTTCGATCCACAGTCCCGTTCGATCGTTCATAAATCCTCGTCTCTTGGTAGACGCGAATCCAGTTGGCGCTTGTCCTCTCCGACTTGTTGTACACAGTTGCAAGCTGCTGTCTCGTGTACCGTGGTTGAAGAACCCGTACAAACAATGAAAAACAGTATTCGGGTGTGCATGTTACTTTGTCACGATGTCGTCCATGGGAGTGTGAAAAGAAGACGTTAGGGGGAATGTCAGCTGATGACTGTGTTGAAAGTTTTGATTTGCAATGAGGAAAGGTACAATCATCTCACATTTAGAAAGTTTTGATTTGCAATGAGGAAAGGTACAATCATCTCACATTTATAGCCAATAAAATCGAAGCAGCATTTTACCGTTGATTCTCACTGGCCAGTTGGATTGAACTCATTCGGCAAATTTGGCAGAAATTCACAATAGCTTGTGACCCAGCAAGATCCCTAGGTAGCGTAAGTGGGCGGATTGAAGGAATCACCTGGTTCACTTCTTCCAGGCATGCCACAGGACGCCGGGATTGTGCGCGGTACGTATGTCTGTCAATAGCCGTGATGCCTTAGTCACGATGGTCTCACGGATCTGTGGATAGTGCACGATCTCTTTCGGCATTTTCCAATAGCCTCTACCCATCGACTGGTGGACTTCCTCGAGCACCAGTGTGTGGATCCCATGATCACCTGCGGCGTGTTTCGCTGGGCGATGGTAGTCGCTAGAGACGTAGCAGTCCCTCACCAGGCGCGTGTCGACCAGGAAACAGTCCAAACGTGTCTTGTTATGTAGTCCGGAGTAGGTTCGCGTCTCATCGTGGTGCATACGCCACGCATCCATCACCCGGAGCGCGACCAGCCACTCGAGACAATTGCCCCGACTCACGGTATGATCGTGGTGCTAACGTTCCACGTCAAGATACAGGTCGAGCGGTAAGTTTAAATCGCCCAGGACCACTGTATGCTGTTGTCTGGGAAGTCGCGTGGTAGGCTGTCGAAGAACGCCGCCAGTTCGGCCGGTCGAACCGGGGCATACACGCAGTGAAAATGCGTATACTGGGGTCTCCTGCCAATTTGTACTGACCGCCATGTATTTGAAGGGATGTCCAGCTTCGACAGGTGTCGAAGGTCGCGGAAGCCTGGTAGTGTGTCGTCAAAAACGAGTGCAACATCTGCAACACCTCCACTTCGATGTGCTGGGTCCTCGTCCGGCGCGGGGACGTAGTTTGGTTCGGTACGTGGGTCATTTACAACAAGGAAGAACTTACCGTGTCCGAATGCGTGTTGAATGTGATAGGAAAGTGTCGACAGGTGATGTCTGTCCTTCAGTTTGGTTTCTTGTAGGGCCACTACGGTTGCTTTGCGGACAATGCGCTCAACAAAGGTATGCCCGTTGTCGACTGACGAGATACCATTGACATTGCACGTGAGGAATTTGACGGATGGGATGGATTGGTGTTGGCTTGGCAATAGGCGGAACTTACTTGGTTCCGACGTGCGGGGGCCTCTAGGCCAGGCTGGGTTAGCCGAAGGAAACGGTTTGTCCCATCCTTGCAAATAGACAAGGATTGATCGTTGTAGTAGACTTGGTTCCAATCCGTCATTCGCTGTAACTGTTGTGCCAGTCCGTGCGCGGGTACACGGTCCACCAATCGTCCCAGAACGCAATGACCCACTGGTGATTGTAGGATCAGCAGGGTATTCGGTGTTAGCAGACGGTATCCACACGACAGGTTTGCCAGTCAAGCACAACACCCTCGCGTCACTCTGGAAAATGGTAGGAGAAACAATGCTCAACCACACCTCGAATAGGGATAATGCATCCTCCGTGCGGATTTGGTGCGACAAAAATTGGTTCCTGGGTGTTTTCCCCCGTACGTATTTTCAAAACCCTCGCGTCGGCTCAACAGTTCGGTCATGGTGAGCTTCGTTTTGCCGAAGATTAGTTTGTGCGTGTCCGCGAACGACTGCGCAGTATTCTCCGTAGATGCAGCAAACCAGCGCTGCCATGTGTGCAGGTGGATCAGCGACTCAAGCCGATCGAACGGGTGCATA